TTTTTAAAAGGGGCCTCGGGACTCTTTATACATATATTTTATTTTTAATACATGGGTGTTAATTCTTTTTCCCTCCTCTTCAATTTCCTTCCACAGCTCATTTGGAGCAGGAGGGGGACCAGCAGAGACCAAATCTGAGCCCCACACGCTGACAGGATCAAGGCATTCTTTAAAATACACACACACACACACACACCACGCAGGCCAGAGCTGTTGTCCAACGCACTCGCACTCCCATCGCACACGCATGGAGAATTAAGACAGGAGGGAAAAAGGAGGGCCCCCTCGTCCCCCCCCCCGCCAGTCCTGAAGCCCCTCACCTCCCATCCTCCCTCCGGGCTGCCCTCTCTCTCAACATATCGCATGGCTGCACCCAGTTGTTGTCGTGCAGTCCCACCCGGCAGCCCGGCGTGTCTTTGTCCGTCCGGCGGCAGCACATCCAGTAAGAGCGTCCGTAAGGCAAGTCGTGATGGTAAGGTTTGGGGTGCCAGCGGCAGAGGGAGACGTCGCCCTTCTCGTAGTGTCTCTTGCACTGCTTGCAGGGGTCGTCGCGGTACAAGGGGTCCCGGTTCCACTTGGAGTCCGTGGCCAGCACACCAAAGGTCTCGATGATGGACTTGAAGTAGTGGCAGGAGCACTTTAAAGCCGCCAGCGCCTGGGTGGGCAGGTAGCTGAAGATCTTCACCATGATGTGATCGGGGAGCAGCAGCATGTACTGGCGAGGCTCCAGCAACCGCTGGATCTTGAAACGGATCTCCAGGAAGTCGTGCGAGACGTGGCGATACAGGCGGCACAAGGACGTGTCAGCGACGGAAGGCTCCAAGACGGAGCCATCGGCCCTCTCCAGCCCGCCCTCACTGGACGAGTCCAGGAAGGCGCTGTCCGCGTCACGGCTGTCCTCCTGTCGCGGCGTCTGAGCGTGGAGGAAGAAGAGCTGCCCTGGTGGAGGGTCATCGCAAGAGGCGCACAACCCTTCTTGGCTTGGCGAGCCCACCGTCAAGCACACCGTCTCTTCCTTCATGTTCTTGGTGCTGTCCTTGCCGAAGAAGACACACTGGTCCACCACCCCCGTGACCACCACGTCCACGTGGAAACCGGACACGCAGTCTCTGGCCGCAGAGGTTGGGGAGCCTCCCATCTTTTCCACGGGGGCCCGGATGTCTTCGGGGATCGTGTCCAGTTTGACGGAGCCAGTCTGGGCCATCTCCGTGTCGGCGGGCTCGCGGCCGGATCCTTCTGAGCCCTTGGGGGAGGCACTCGCCAACAGGAAATCCACATTGTTGGGGAGGGTATCCCGAGAGGGACTGATCAGCTGGTAGAGGTCACAGGTTATCTTGTCTTTCGACCGGGCTGTGGTGCCAGTGGGCGACCCTCCGCAGCTCATGAACATGCAGTTGGGCCGGGGGACGGAGCTGCTCTCCGAGGGCGAACGGGGGTCTCGGCTGCTGGAAATACGGAAGGCAATGCGGACTTCGCCGGGGCTGTGTTGGGAGTTGGCCATGCATTCAGCAGACTCCCGGCGGAGGCCGTTCTGACACATGACGCTGCGCTCTCGAGACTCGAAGTGGGCAATGGCCTCAGCCACGCGGCTGCAGTCCGAGCTTCCCCCGGAGGTTGGCACTTTCTTCTCCCCGCTCTCCTCTTGCTCCGTAGACACAAAAACCATCGGGGACGGCGGGGCGCTCGGCCGGGAACAATTCTGCTCCGCCCGCGCCGTCCGCTGCTCCACCAAGGCCACCATCTCAGCCACCGAGAGCAGGTCGGTGGCATCCCCGCTGGCAGGATCAGTGTGGGACTCGGGCCAAAGGCAAACATCCTCGGCTTCCTTGCTGCCACCGTCCTTGGGTTTGACCGGGCAGGCTTTACTCCGGGCAGGATCGTGCGACCTCCGCCGGCGCTTCGCCTTGGAGCTGTCGCTGCCCCAGTTTCCTTTGACCTTCATGGCGCTGGCCCTGTTGCCGCTGCTGCACTGGTGGGCCACGAAGAAGGCAATCTTCTCCTTGGTGTTGCCCGGCTTGATCACATACCAGGTGTCCAAGAGGACTCGGCCCTCCTCCACCTGGCTGGGATTGGAGGCAGCCGCTAGGGGAGGCGGCGGGGGAGGCGGAGCTGGGGGGGTGTTCTCCGAAGAGACCTCGCCACTGTCCCCCTCCTCCTCTTTGGATTTGCAGGCAAAGTCCCCAAAAGTTTTCTTCCCCTGGTTGCCACGGCAGGGCTTGTTCTCTGAGTAGGTGCCAAATGGGCGGGGACACCACAGCTGGATGTGGGAGAAGGTGTTGTGATCCATCACGCTCTCATGGCCAAGAGGAGGGGGAAGGACGGTCCTCCCCTCTAGTGCATGATCGGCTGCTCCTGTGGATCTTCCCAGGGCCCTGGAGTAGCCTGCGGGAAAGCGAAGGAAAAACAGACATCCATCAGGTGTGCAAAATGCAGCAGATTTAAGATTGTCGACAAAGCACAGGACACAGGTGCGCATGCAACACTTTGCTACCTTAGAATTTATTTTCCATGGGGTGGGGGGGGAAGGAATCAATAGAGGTATTCCTCGACTTACAACCACAATTGAGCCCATTTAATGAGACATGTGTTAAACTCCCTCAACACTGTCCCAACTATTTTCAAGGTCTGCACTACTATTACTGTTAACCTTCTCATCACTCCTTATCGCCCACCCCCTCCCACTTATGACTGTATGACTGTAACTTTGTCACTTGAATCCTTACGATTCATATTGACTGTTTCCTAGTGTGATTTGATTGCTTATTGTACCCTATGACTATCACTAAGTGATGGATCTGATGATTCTTGAGTCTTGACTAATGTATCTTTTCTTTTATGTACACTGAGAGCATTCGCACCAAAGACAAATTCCTTGTGTGTCCAATCACACTTGGCCAATAAAAGAATTCTATTCTATTCTATTCTATTCTATTCTATTCTATTCTATTCTATTCTATTC